AGACATCTTTCTGATATTTTATTGCTTTTTCTATTATTCATCTGATGTTTGCTATAGGATACCTTGTTCCTCTGCCTTTCCTGAATCCTGCTTGTTCTACAAGTAGCTCCCTGTCAGCAAACTGTTGTATCCTGTGCTGTATTGTTTTGAGAAGAATTTTGCTAGCATGAGATATAAGAACAATCGTGCGATAGTTTGAACAGTCCCTGTAGTCACCCTTCTTAAACAAAGGTATGAAGATGGATATCTTCCAGTCAGTTGGCCAACATACTGACGACCATATCCCTCGGCAAAGTTTTGTCAGAATCTTGACAGGCATTGCTTTGAGAAGGCATTGCTATTGGGATTCCATCAATTCCCGGTGCTATTCCTTGTGGTAGTGCTTCCAGAGACTTTAGAACTTCACATTCTAAAATGCATGGCTCTTGTATCTCATCTTGTTTACAAGGGTTTGTATGATCTGTTTGACTATTGACTGTTGAGAATAGTTCAGTCGCATATTCCTACCATCTTTCTTTTATATCCTGTTGATCGTGTAGTACAATACCATTCTTGTTTTTGATCATTCCTTTTTTGGCTTTAAAATTTGATCTTAACTCTTTAACCTCCTTGAACATTGGCCTGGTCTGGCCTTTCTTGCTGTCTTCTTCACTGAATTGACATTTCCTGACAAGGAAATCCTCCTTGTCCTTGCGTGCTGCCTTTTAGAAGTCATTGTTCAACTTCTTGAACTCATCAATCATGGCATTAGCTTTTGCTTGCCATCTTTTTTCTCCAATTTTCAGTCTTCTTCGTTAACCATTTTTTTGTTTTTCTTCTTTAATTTTGTACGGAACTGTGATCTCAGCAGCGATTAACACATTTTGTTTTATTTCCCCGGGTTATTGTCATCACAGCAAAGTGCTTCAAATCTGTTCTTGACTTCTACTACATATGCTGTAGTTACTTTCACCACATCAAACCTTATTGTTGGATTAGTAGGTTTGAAACTGCACAGCCTCAGTTTCATCTTTGCCATGAGTAGCTGATGGTCTGAGTTGCAGTCAGCACCCGGTAATGTTTTGACTACAGTAATGGAGCTTCTCCACTTTTTCTGACACAATACATAATCAATTTGATTTCTGTATTGTCAACTTGGAAAAGTCCAAGTGTATAGACGCCTCTTGTGCTGTTTAAAGGTTGTGTTCATAATTATCATGTCATTTTCCAGGCAAAATTATATTCATCGGTCTCCCGCCTCGTTTCTCTCTCCAAGATCATGTTTTCCAACAGTGGGTGGTTCTTCACCAGTGTCCACTTTGGCATTAAAATCTCCTAAAACATAAAACATTTCTTTCCTTGCTATGGTTTTAATCATGTTGTGAAGTTCGCTGTAGAATGCTTCTATTTCTTCTTCAGTGACGTCTGTCGTCAGGGCGTAAACTTGTATGAAGTTTATATTCATGGGTTTGCTGATGATTTTGATTAGGATGATTTTTTCATTACTGGCATTATATCCACTAATGCACCTGGCGACTTTTTTATTGATTATAAATGCCACACGTTTACGCCTGATGTTGTCATTTCCTGATAAATATAGTGTGATCATCAGATTGGAAGAAACTATTCCCTTTCCAGTGGAGTTCACGGACTCCTAGAATGTCAAAGTTGCATCTTATCATTTCTTTTTTTACTATCTCCAATTTGCCAAGAGTCATTCCTCTTACATTCCAAGTTCCCACTTTTATGTTGCTCTTTGCGAAGTGCAGATTGGCCGTTTCATCAAGAGTATCAGCCACAGGGTGCTCCTCAGCGTTTGACCTTGCTACTTCATCCAAGTCTTGATTGAACAGGCGATACAAACTATGCTCTTCTCCAGTAACCGTTAGGTGATCAGGAAGCCTAAAGGGTCTACCGCTGATGACCATAACAGAACTTCCTTTGTAGCTTGCCATGAAGTGTTATGGTAAAAAAAAACGCCCCTCCTCCTTTCTCATCCGGACTCGGGACCGTCAATGGCAGAGTTATAAAACACCACTACGTTCCTCTTTTTTTATGTATTATTATGTTTTGGACTATAACCGTCCTTTGAGCACAAAGAGGACTTCTTTTAGCAAGTCCTTTATGGATTCGGTCAGGCCCACTATGTAGCGGTGGGTAGTAAGGGACGGAACCGAAATATTCCGTAGGAAAACTCTCTACGATTTTTCTACTCGTCAGAATTTGGTCACGGGTCCTCCCAAGCGGTAAGCTGTTACTTTGACCGCTCGGCCATCAAGCCATCACTATGTTCCTNACCGTTAGGTGATCAGGAAGCCTAAAGGGTCTACCGCTGATGACCATAACAGAACTTCCTTTGTAGCTTGCCATGAAGTGTTATGGTAAAAAAAACGCCCCTCCTCCTTTCTCATCCGGACTCGGGACCGTCAATGGCAGAGTTATAAAACACCTCTACGTTCCTCTTTTTTTTTTATGTATTATTATGTTTTGGACTATAACCGTCCTTTGAGCACAAAGAGGCCTTCTTTTAGCATGTCCTTTATGGATTCGGCCAGGCCCACTATGTAGCGGTGGGTAGTAAGGGACGGAACCGAAATATTCCGTAGGAAAACTCTCTACGATTTTTCTACCCGTCAGAATTTGGTCACGGGTCCTCCCAAGCGGTAAGCTGTTACTTTGACCGCTCGGCCATCAAGCCATCACTATGTTCCTCTCTACTGATTCAGCTGCCATCTTTTGAAAGGTAATAGCATTATACATACTTTCATCCATGTGGCTCCCGTATGCTGAAAATGGCCGCCACTCAACGAGAAAGTGGATAAGAGGCTCGGACGTTTATAGTATCTTTCAGCAGATGTTGNATTTTCATGATACGATCTCAGTGTTGGAACGGATTAATTTCGTATTCTGAGATACCACTGTATTAAATTAAATTTCGGTGTTTAATAGTCGAGGGAGTAGGGAGATAAAGGGGGTCCTGTGTATCCTCATAAGGTCAGATTAAATGACTATTTTCCTTATTAGCATTCACATTTTTTATAGAACCCACCCGTACCCTGAAAATTAAGCTACAGTAGACCCCCTATAACACGGGTTCCTATAATTACGATTCCTATAAGACGGCGAAAAAATTGCGACGGTATCCGTACAAACCAGGTAAAAAACTCCTATAACTCGGTAAAACGTCATCGGGCAGCCGAACTACTTTCNATTATCCTTTTAAATATATCATATAAAATTACAATATTAAAATTTTTATTTTCGAAAAGCTAATGTCTACACTCGGTATTGACGATAACGATATTCCATTAAAAATTTAATCCGAAAGAAACTACTGTACAACAAAGACGAAAGATTATTTCATATTTAACGACTTAAAATACCGTTTAAGTACTTAAACGAACACAAAATAAATTTACGAGATTTAGAAAAACCGAAAACGTTTGGGTTTATTTTAATTGAAAATGATTTCAGCATTGCCAATACAAGTGATTGGCACAGAATAAGTAATTTAATTTAATTCAATTTATTTATTTATAAGGATGTATTTAAATCCGATATAATTGAATCGATCCTGTAAATAAATTTTTTTAAAAGTATTTTTATATGAATATATTAGAGAAAAATTACTTCTGGTATCATCAGAAGATTAAATAGTTTTAGTTATTTATATATTAATGAATTAACGAAAGGTTCTTTCAATGTCAAATTAAATAAATCTGCGATCTTATGCCAAAAGTTATTTTTGATATTTTTTTAAAATAGCAGTAATATTACAATGTGACCGTGCGCTAGAAATATAAAGCGTGTGGAATTTTGAAGGAAAAAGTTGTTTCAGCAATTCAAGATAAAGAAGAAATAAATACGATTAAGAAAAAGCTAATTATTTTCTTTTTAAAAATATGAATAAAATAAATCCACCTCCCTAATCTCGAAAAACATGGCCAATAAAAGCGTTATTTTTTAAAATTTTAAAAAATAAATTATTTATACTTAACAATATAGACGAAAGCTAATCGCCTTTGAAAGCAAAGATTAGTGAATATTTAAGGAACATTCGATCTGTTTTGTGTAAGTAAGAAAACACGAGGACTTCTGTGAACAGTCAGTATACATAACAATTATAATTACATTCAAACAGAATTTGATGCATGCTAATTGGATTTGATTAATATCGATGTCTGTATTAACAGTCTTATGATGGACGCTTTCAGTTTCATATAATCAATAGCAAATGCCCTGTTTTCGTGACAAGTTGGATTAAGAATATTAAGATGCAAATAGACTTATTAGTTTTCTATAACGTTATATTAACAATCTTAAAAGATCAATTTTTAAAATATTAATAATATCTAAATTTTACTGAAAATTCATTTAAATATTTTTGAATATCTTTGTTCATCTTAAGGATATCTAAAATGATTTGAATCAAAAATACAGAAACAGTTGCTATGACAACTCCTTTATTATCAGATATTTGAATTATTTTACATTTCTGAAGATGAATAAGTGTTTGAAAACACAGAATTTGAATACATTTTTTTTTTTTTTTCATTGGATAGTCATCATTTCCCCAATTGGGGATCAGAGTCACCCTTGTCCCGCTATCTGCACCACAAGGGAAACGCTATCTTTATTTCTTATTTACAATAATACTTTTAAAAGTCTTAATACATACAACTAATTTAATACAAAACATTAAAACATAGGCATCTTGCCTTTACACGATTGCGACTCTTGTCGCTAAGGGAGCAACTCGCTCCCTCCCTCCCTCACGACAGAATTTTGCGCATGAAGGTNATAAAGAATTAGCCTATATGAAATACTATTCAGATAACTTGAATATAGTATATATATGTATTGGTATGTGTACGTGTATACTTTATTAACATATTTCATATAAATATAGTAACTTGATAAATGAAACAATTTCTTCATAATGTAGAAATAAAAATTCATATTAAAAATGCATTCAATACTTTAAAAGTATTTAAAATTCAGATATAAAGAGCCTTAATGGTTCACACTGTATATATATCAAAAGAAAAAAAATTAAGAAAAGTTTAATTTTTAAAAAATAACTTTGTTTAAAATCTTAACTTACTCGGATCGAAAAATACGATTGCCTTTAAACAAGCAAATTCCGAATTATCAATCTCTATCTCCCTGAAAACATTGACTAATTCATCCATGACTCTGCATCCGATCCTGTTAACCACCGGATCAGCTGCATCCCTGGTGATGATCAAGTGATTTCCAAATAAAAGTACGTCTTTCATGTTCATAGATCTCCGAGCCAATCCCAGTACCAAATTCTCTCCCGAATGAGATCGCATCAAAGCTGTCTAAAGCAAACGTATTTAAAATCATTATGAAATTCTTCCATAGAAGTCTATTTGATTTTAAATAAAAACACACCTGATCTTCAATGCATAATTCTATAAATGGTCGGAGTTGTTTGGCCCAATTTACTAAACAATACAGCTGATCGTTTATAGAATTGCATATATCGACAGCTGTAGCCATAGCTTCCGTTAGGCCATTTCCTGTAGTATATTCTGGCTGCTAAAACACAAAAGTAAAGGAAAATTTTAATAATAATTTGCTAAATTTTATTTATCAAAGTTAATTGATTCCTATTAATTGATTGGAAAAAAAATTCGGTCTTTATATTCTTATTTTATTTATTAAAAATTTCTATAATAATTTTTTATTAAGTTTAAATTTAAATTTTTATTTAACAATTAAAAAATTATTATTCTGAATAAGCTAACACAGTTTTTACTGTAATTACTTAAGAAATTCTTATACATTCTTAATATATTTAAATACAGTATAGATGAATTTAAAATAATGAATATTTAATTTAATATTATTCAAAGAAAGTATTAAAATAACTCATTTAGAAAAATATTACAGTATATAAAATATAATCCAGTCTCTAACAAGTAAGTTGAAGAGTAATAATTAAGAGTGTATTCTCCTATTTCCACTTCTGTTTAATCCTCGCAGTGGAATCTTCCTATTAATTTTCTATCGAGGATTGTTTCGGCAATTATCTCACGCTGAACCAATTAGTTTAACCAAATCTCATGGATTTACATTCAGAAAGCATTACAACTTAACCAAACTCTACAAATACGCTCGAGTGTTTAATAACATTCTCATAATTAATTTAAAAAAAAGTCCTTACTTTAGCTTATCGAAAAAGATTTAAATAATCTTCTTATCTCTAATTTAAAGTTAAATATCACCATTGAAATCCAAAATATTAGTTCGTAATCATAATTTATCTGTATATATATATATATATCTACAGATTATAATTCATATTTNTTTATCTGATAAGAGTAGATATTTAAATTAATTCTAAATTTATTTAAACTAGGGGTCCCCAAAGTGATCGATATCGACCCCTTGGGGTTGATAAGAGTACTCCAGGGGTCGATTAATACACGAGGGTCGAAAGGGGGTCGATTAATACCAAAGAGGATCAATTAAACTGTCTAGGAAAAAAATAGAATTTTCCAATAAAAATTCGAAATACAGATATGATCAACAACATTACTGACTACCCTAGTTATAACTTGAGTTTTGCCTTAGCCTACGCCGCTGTAAGCATGTGTTACTCTGTTTTCACGCATCTGGCAACTGTCCTAGTGTTGTAAACATGTTATGAACGCTGGTAGTTCATTATACACAAACATACGTTGCATGTTACACTCTAGTTGGGTTGTCACTCTAAGTATTTTATATCTAAATGTAGATATCTTGTCCTTTATAGAGAAAATATCGCTTTATATCGAAAACCATTAATATAGTACAGAAGCGTTTGCAAGAAAAAATGGCCTTTCAAGTAAAAATGGAGCTATTTAACTGGCACGATCCAATTTTAAATATTTTTTAAACTTGAGAGTACTAAAAGAAAATGGAAAGGTTTCTGACCGTGATTTGGAGATATAGGCTATATTAAACATATTGATAAATTAAGCACGTTTCGATGAATTGGAGAATATGCATGTTTCCGAATGGTTTGCTAATCCATATGATGTAAAAATAGATAATGAAGGTAGTGAAACTGGCTTAAAAGATGAATTGGGTGAAATATGTGTAGATCTCGAAGCTAAAGCGTTGTTTAAAAATAAAAACCTCAGTGAATTTTGGAGCAATAACAATATTGCCACTAAATATCCCAAGCTCAGATTAGAAGCCGAACCTTTCTTACTCGCATTCCCAACTTCATACATGGTTGAAGCTGGTTTTATCCACGCGAACGCAATTTTGACAAAACAGAGGAACAGATTGAACTTGGAAAACCGTGGTGATTTGCGACTAAAACTTACCAATTTTCAACCGAATATCAATAATCTTGCTGCTTCTCTTCAGAGACATCTATCCCACAAATATAAACTATTCTAATAAAAAGGTATGTCTATATATTTTTAAGGCATTCAGTAGTAGTCGCAAAATGACAGTAAGAAGTTTTTTCATCCAATATAACTTATGTTATGTTTTCAAAGATAATTGTGTGTTTTACGTATTAT